TTTGTGCATGTCTTTTCAAAGAGTGTAGCTCTAAAAAATCATCTTGCTTTGCAATAGCACAGTCACTTGCCCAATACACAAAGCCAGTATGAATCCAACAACAGCACAGAACCATACAGTTATTTTAAGCCTAAGGGAAGATGGTTAAGCTGTCCTCCTAAGGAAACAATGCTCAGGGGATTATCGTCTCTGTGTGTCTGTATGCTCACTGGCAAATTTCAAGCCTTGTGACCATTTCTCACTGATACCAGCACATTCCTGGCCAAAATGACTGAGTCTTCATCTGTTTCATGGGGGAGAAAAAAGAAAAAAAAAAACAGAAGGATGACCAAGTAGAAGTGAAGAGAAGGATTGCAAGTGTATGTAATACCTTACCCAGCATCACTGAGTACAAAGATCAGGAGAAAAGCAAGAGAAATACCCCAGTCACTGGAAATGTTGAATTTGCAACCAGCTGTAAAGTACAAAATGGTAAGAAACCAGCATTTGCCTTACGTAGTGCTCAAAGAACAATTTTTCAAACACAAAGGAGTTCTGATATGATTAAATGAAAATTTTAAAGCATTACTGGCTCCAAGAATCTACTTGTCAGTTAAAAAAATCTTTTAAAATCGTTATTCTTTCAGATACTTATTACCTTATTTTAAAAGAAAATACAGTATAACAAAAATAGAATCCATAGAGTTGGAACCTTTAAAGGTCACCTCGTCCAACTTCCCTGCAAATAACAGGGACATGCACAGCTAAATTAGGTGATCAGAAGTCATTACTGACTTCTTCATCGCCAGCAGTTCATTCTCCTAAGTCTCTGTCATCACACCTTGTAATAACGATATTCCTGTCTTTATAGTTTATGTGAATCAAATCTGATACCCCTTAGGCAAGGATTTTAGCAACAACATTCATGTAGTTATCAGCTACTTGCCAGTATTTGGAATGGATACTCAGATTAACAGGAATGCAACTTGAAATACAACTCAGACACTGTTCAGACAAGTACTAGGAACAGCCTGTGCACAAAATCCTTGTAAACAGAGTTGCCAGCTGGGCAAGGGGAAGGAAACAAAAATCATGGAAGCAGGAGTGATTTAGGCACAACAGTGATGAACAGCTCAGTGTCCTACTCACTAGCCCCAGCTCAGATTGTGGCCCGTGCAGAATGTTACAACACAGCCATCATGTGAAGGAGCACCTGAAATTTGTCCAGAATTTTATTGGTTCTGTTCCTATGTGGCATTGTGAAACTGTGGTGGCAATAGCACGTTAGAAGTACATTTCCTTCACATAGTAAGAGAAAGGAATATTGTTGACACTAGTAAGTTACACTGTGTAGACTTTTCATTTGTTTTTGAAAAATATCAACTTGGGTTCAGCAGACAAATTTTTTCTTTATAAGGGAAAGCTTGTTCTGAAAACACAAACTGTTTGGTATGCAGATTTGCTATTTAAAGTACATTCTATAGAAAAGGTTTAAACACTTTTATCATGTTGCTTTCCTCACAAAAGACCAAAACAAAATTCTACTCCCTAAGTGCAAGGTAATCATCTTAATTTGTTACTACTTCTTAATTATTTTTATGGTGGATTAATTAATGTGGGAAAACTAATGCTGATGCCCACTCTGGGCTGCACCCAACTCAGGTCAGCCTGGACCAGTCACAGGTGTGTCAAAATACCAGTTTCAACAGAGTACAAAGGATATGTGATGCCATCAGCACTGATGAGGCTGCACTTCAACTACCATATTCAGTCTGGGGCCCATTTCTACAGGACAAACAGTAAGGCCCTGGAATATGTTCAAGGAGGGGCAATGAAGATGTGAAGGGTCTGGAGCAGAAGTGTTATGGGGAGCAGCTGAGGGAAATGGAATTGTTCAGTCTGGAGAAGAGGAGGCTCAGGAGAGACTGTGTCTCTCCCTACAACACACTGAAAAGAGGTAGATAAGTTGGGGATGGTCTCTTTTCTCAGCTAACAGATAGAACGAGAGGTAATGTCCTAGGGGAGGTTCAGGTTGGGTATTAGGAAAAATTTCTTCTCGGAAAGAGTGGTGATGCACTGACACAGGCTGCCAAGGAAGGTGGTGAGGTCACTGTCCCTAGAGCTGTTCATGAAAAGAGTAGGTGTGGCACTGAGGGACATGGTTAGTGAGCATGATGGTGATGGTTGGCAGTTGGACTAGATGATCTTTTCTAACCTTAATGATTCTATGATCTCCAACTCTTCCAGCAGCCTCTTTCAGTCTCAGAGCAAGCCACTTACTTTAAATTGTACCTCTAAAACCACTACTCACTGTCTACTATCCCTCTGATCCTTAAAAGCAACTGGAAAACTCCTGTAAATGCCAACACAAATCAGACTTGAGCAAATTGGCTAACGCATCACCAGCAGCAACCAGAGCCCATTACCAGTGCTGCCTGGTGCATGCTGAGTGCAGCCCCTGCTTGGTGCTACCACTGGCTCTAATTGTTCTGCCAGAGTATTTGAGCTCATGCTCCCACAACTTTCATTTGGGAGTTAGTCAGAGTCACAGAATTGAAGTCACAGGGGTTGGCAGAGACTTCTGGTGATCATCTAGCCCAACCCCTTCTAAGGCAGGTTCCCTACAGTAGGTTGCACAGGAAAAAATCCAGACAGGTATTGAATAACTCCAGAAAAAGAAATGCCAGAATATCTCTGGGCAGCCTGTTCCAATGCATATGAGAACAGTCTGTATATCATGCAGCTTTCCACACATGCATGCAGATGTATGAATTTTTTTTTCCTTATGAGGTGAATTTGATTAAGAAAGGGTGAGGAGAAATTACTGTATATATTACTGTAAAATTAGCAGATGAATTAAAAGAATTATCTGTGGATTCTGGCGTAATATAATTTGGGCAGCCATGTAAAATGCATGAATTGCAACAGACTTCATCTTCATCCACCCACACTCAGAAGTGAAGTAACCCTGTTCTGCATACGTCTCACAAACTTCATCATCAGCCAAATATACTGTAGAACCTATTTCTATTGTCAAAAGCTGTGTTTTCTCTGTGTGCATCAAAAAGAGAGGAGCCAGCACTGAGCATTCTGCCCTTTCTCCAGGTGGCTGAGGCTGTAAGATGTATGGGCAGGAGTGCAGCATTTTCTGGGCACTGGGACATGAGGTGTCACCAGGTGTGCAGCACTCCATTCCTCCCAGACTCTGCCCTTTGACTCTTCACCTATGTTACACAAAATGCTCATAACTGTGGAAGTGCTGATTCAGAGTTATCTCAGTCATCACTCCAGAACACCGTGTCACTCAGTTTGGTCACTAGAACATATCCAGAGAAGCCCATGCTATTTGCTTTGACAACAAGAACCAGGAATATTTTGTGAGCCTCACAGATCTGAGGAGACTCCTTCATTCAAGCAGTGCCACTTGAACATAGCACCTCACACTTTGCATTTGTGTCCTATTGTGCACAGACTCCACTTGAAGCTCTCCCTTTGCTGCTGGGAGGTGTAAGGTCCGTTAGGAATCCCTGAGGATTCTGCCTCACCACCAGGACATGGTTGTGTTGGAAGGCAAGAGTATCCCAACCTGGGAACTGTTGAGGGGTGGGTGGCTGAGGGTAGGCCTTGCCCTGATGGAGACTGCAGTTGTCCCACAGATGGCATGAAGAATGCACTAGTAGCCCTTGTTCCTAGTTCTTACTGTATTTTGCTCGGTCTTGGCAAACAACTCCTCACACCACTGGCATGAAATATTTTTAGGGCCATAAGAGTACATGGAGGGTTCCTTCTGTTTTTGCTGCTGTGTCTCCTTGGAGACGACTGGCCAGCAGCTCACACAAGAATACGGCTGTTGCTCAGTTAAGCATACCATCCTCTAAACACCCTCTGTAACACACTCAAAATAGACAGGTTTCCCTGATAACAACATATGCTAACCGGCTGAAGAAGCCAAAAGGACATATTTGATCCATGAAGAACTATATTCAGCATATTGCAAATATTCTCTATTCTTACCTCAGTTCCAGGAAAACCCAGATCTATTTCTGAATCATGAGGAAGTAGAAAGAGAAATACATCTGCAGAAAATATCAAAATGCTAGGGATTATATCATCCTGTGTGTTGCTTTTTGTCCAAGAGAGAACAAGGAGTTGAGGCTTCGTAAACTGAATACATAGCCAACAATTTATATAGAGGCACTCATTTATATAATGACAGTTAGGATGACCAGTTTAAAGTTCTTTTGAGCATACCCACAATTGTGAAGCTGCAGCCACAACCCTGACAGCAGTATTTCAACCTTTGAGCATTTCTACTGACTCCTACACCTGCTCATACTGTGAGCAGCTCCCCTTGAAGCCTGTCAGTTAAAAATGGAGTGTGTGTGGTCAAAATAATCAGCTGAACACACCTCAATCACATTCTTTCCTCAACGCAAGCATTTGCTCCAAACAAGTGCTAATGTACCTCAGTGATTATTTTATCCAGTCTTCTGCTATTCAGCTTGCTATTTAACCTGGTCTTCTTGGAGCAAAGGCCATAGATAGAATCACTAAGGCTGGAAAAGACCACTAAGATCACCAAGTCCAATCATCATCTCACTCCAATCATGCTTACTAACCATGTCCCTCAGTACCATGCTTCCACAGTTCTTAAACACCTTCAAGGATGTTGACTACACTACCAACTCCCTGAGCAGCCTCTGCAAATGCATCACCACTCCTTCTGAGACAGAAGTTCTAAACTTCTCACAATATCCAACCTGAACCTCTCCCAGAGTAACTTAAAGCCATTACCTCTTGTCCTAAAAGATGCAAGATGTTAATTATATGCAAGGAGATAAACACAAGATTAAAAAACAAACAAATCACAATCCCACAAGGAGACAAAGTTTGGAAACACATACTAAATCCAACTTTGATAATCATTTATTTTCCTACTTCCTTGACACAGTCTGAACCTAGGCTGTTATATTTCTCATTGAAGAGCAGCTAAGACATCAGATTGGGAACATGGCCGCATCATGTCTATACTCCACACAAAGAGCTCACAAGTTCCCTATCCTGAAGACGTGGTAATCTGCTCAAACCTACCTAAGTTCCAATGCCAGGCGATGCTGGCCAGCTTGCAGTATGCTTGAGGCTCACAGTCTTATGGGTATGTTTCCTATGTCCATAAGGATATGGAAAAACATTCAAGCTTCCTAACTATACATTCAGGTAATACCCACTTTGTGGACACCTTGGTTGCAAATAACACAAATAAAGGAAAATGTCCTGCTACTACTCTTGCAACAGCATTAAACTGGGGAACAACAACATCAGCATTAAAAGAACAGAAGAAAAATATGTGCAATGAACTCTATAGAGGTACTACCTTTCTGAAAGAGTAGTCAGGCACTGGAATGGGCTGCCCAGGGAGGTGGTGGAGTCACTGCCCCTGAAGTTGTTCAAGGAACGTGTGGATTTTGTGTTGAGGGACATGGTTTAGTAAGTACTATTGGTGATAGGTGGATGGTTGGACTGGATGATCTTGAAGGTCTTTTCCAACTTTGGTGATTCTGTGATCTTCTGTGATCAGAGTCAGAGTGTATCCCATTCTTTCTACATAAGATGAAAAGGTGGAATTAGCAGGCTGTAAGTAAACAAGAAACTTATTCCATATTTACAATTTCCTGAGGTACGATAAGATATTTGTTCTCAGAACAAATCTTGTCCTGATCCTGCAGTACCACTCCACAGAGGCTGGTATTCTCCTTAAAAATTCAACTATCTGTGATTATAAAGAGAAGGCAGTTACTTATGTAATGGCTGAGGAGATGAAAAGCATGAAGTCTGAGAATAAAAGGAGTGACCTCTCAGCTAATACCTGAAAGCTCAACCATTAGCAGAGGGAATGAGAAATGGGAAAGAAATTAATGTTTATGGGCAATATTTTGCATGACTGTGGGGGAAACACTGGATGATCAATACTTCACTGTCTTCTTCAGCCAGTATTGCTTTCAAACACCCATAGAATGAGTCTCCATCCCTCAATCGCTCAGCAGAACACAATTTCTGGCTCAAGGTCAGTAGCAATTTCACTTACCTAAGATAAGCTAGGCAAAAAAAGTTTTATGTCTCTTTCTTTTCCCACAAAAGAGACAGATATTTTAGGTAATATCAGAAAATAAGGAAGTGAGAATATAAGTTGTGCATTTTCTTATGATTAAAAAAACCAAAATTCTCATGGAGGAAAACAATCACAATCTCATTGAGTGGGAAAGTAACACATGCAGTAGATTTGATGGCTAATTCAGTCCAGCTCAGAGATGTCACTGGGACCACTGAGGTTTCAGTGTGGGCTCCAGATGTTTATATACTGCAGAGAGAATGTTCATCTAAACATCCTGCATCATCTTTGAGCTGAGAGCATAGATTGTAAAGCTGCTGTGTATTTGTTCAAACAGGCCAGCTTCCTTGCGTTTTTTTTTTCCAGTTCTAATTTCATAAACAAGCCTGGATGTAATTACATTCAGTCTTTACCTATCATTACATTTATCAAAGCTCTCTTTTCCTTTCCCTATCCTCATTTTACAAATAGGGCAGATTTTGCCATTGAGCAGTTCCGTATAAATTACATCAGGCAACTACAAATAAATGCTTCATTTAGAAGCCTTAATCCTTACCTAGATGATAAATAACTTAACTGATTTGCCCAATAGCGGTAGCATCCTTAAGAGTAACCTAGAAAAGTTCTCTAATTAACATATAGAATAGGGACTTGGCTTTGTAACACAAGTGACTTCCTTCTCCAAAGGAGTGTAATTAGTTTCTACAAAAATGTTCCTTCCCTTGGATTTTCTGATGCATTTCACCGTGATAGAGAGCAACGTTCTAACACAAATGTTAGCAGAGAATCCAGACTGCTGCCAAATTCCCTCAGACATGTTTAAAGTCAGCTTTGTTCATTTCAATTATCAAGTAGAGAGCATCAGACTAACTTGCAGTTTTGAGCAAGACTTTTCTCGCAGAAAAGCACAGAACCTGCCTGGACACAAGTGCAGAGCAGGACTCCTGACAGGTGTATATATTGTTTTATCCAGAGAGAAGACATGGCCATTTTTTGCTGTGATGTACTTGTTCCAAGGAATTAGTTGTTCAGAAGAAATCAAAAGAATGATCCTGAAGCATTCTTGAATAATGTAAGTTTCTTGGAATTATCCGGGGACAAAGGAATGCATGATTCACAGCAGAGGAATTTCTAGGTATTGTGAATAAAGAGGTAGATAAGCTGCCTTCATTTAACCTACCCCTAATCACTCTACATGCTACTGTTTTCTGCTACAAATCAAGGCAAACTCCTCTCCTTAGTACATCTGCAGTATTAATTTCCTTTTAGTATTAGTTATTAGTTTGGCACTCTCCCTGTATCTGAAAGAATGAACATCTGGAATGCTCTGCCAGCATTTCATCAGCAAAGAAGGCTCTGAATTACTGGCAATGCCAAGCACAGATTTGAAATGGACAGCTTTTCAGAAGAGCACCTCTCAACCAAGCAAGCTTGTTTAGATCTGTATTCACTTGCTAGAATCTTGTTGGTTTTTTTTTTTTCCCCCGTCCTGCATGAAAAGTTACATTGAATAATTCTGCAAGTACAAGTTCTAGAAAACCCATCCTCTTTCATAAACACACCTAGGCAGCTCCTCATCTCAGCTCTGGGAAATGCAAGCTCCTGCTATCATGCTACAATGGTTCTTGCATCACTGTAATGCAAGGGTTTGTGATCAGATGTCAGTGGTGCAACAGTTTTTGAAAATTATTTTCACTGAATAGTCAAACCCTGGAGGTCACACAAGGAATGAAGGAATTTTAGTTTTCTGTAGTGGTAGTTTGGGGGTTACAATATCCCCATCTAATATTATTTCATACAAATGCTTAAATACCTGAAAAGAAACCCCAGTTGCTTTTGCTCTCTAATATTTCTTTGTAACAAATATTTTAGGCAGGTAGTGTATGAGAAGAACTTGTGCAAAAAAATGCATTTGTTCTTTCTCTTGCAGAATGAACTCATTACATACAAAGGGTACCCCAGCAAAGACTACAAAGTAACCATCTTCAGTCATTATCTCATTACTATTAACAGAGTCTCCTGTGGTACATGTAATCAGGAAAATACAGTTCACTAATAGGTGTTCTAGAAAGAAATAACTGCAGAGTTATAAGACATCTACCAAAGTTTGTGCACACAAGTGAAGTTTGAGCATTCTATCTACCTTGAGCAGCTTGCAAGGTCAACAGGATTTATGTAAAGCACTTCTCTTTATAGTAAAAATATGAATTAAGCATTGTAATTTCTTCAAAATAGGAGTTGATGAGTAAAGTTAAGATATGTGCATGTGTGTGTGTACATCAGACAAAAGGTGCAGTCTGTTCAGTCAGCCCATTTTGCAAGAGCAGGTCCAGCTTCTGAGTTTATTTTGTCTTACACCTGTTTAATTTCAGTGTCTGATTCATATTTTGGATACATGAAATGTCTGCAAATTATCCCATATCTTCCTTGTTCCCATCAGTGGTGAGCATCTTAAGATATGCAGTGACCTGAGGCTGCCAAGTCACTGTTGCTGATAATTAGACTTACCTTCCTATAGACCTTACCAAAACTTTACAAGAGATTCTCTCTTTACAGACAGGCATGCCTTGTTCTTATGATCAGCTATCTCCCTTTAAGATGGTACAGGGCCAAATCCCAGTGTTTGAAAATGAAACAGCAATATCCCTTTACCAGAAAAAGCAAGAAATTATATGAAATGTTGTTTTGTTTCTGATATGGCTTTCAGTTGCAAAACCTGCTGTATTTCTCCAACATAGACTACTGGGAGATGCCTATAAGTGGGTCACAAACCTGCCCAACAACAACTTAACCTTCATGCTAGCTGATGCTGGCTATGATGTTTGGATGGGAAACAGTAGAGGGAATCACTGGTCCAGAGAACATTGAAATTATTCCAAGATGAGTTCTGGGCTTTCAGGTAGGTCAAAACATTGAGGAGTGTATTAATTTCATTTGGTTAAGTCAGGGATTAACATATATTACTTTCAAAAAGTGTTATTTACATTCACAGCAGCTGAGATGTCTCTATGCAATTACATGGGCTTAACAGTAGTGCAGACTACTCACCTCCTTCATTGCTAACAGAGTTCAGGCTGGAGGCACAGCATGAGGGTAGCTCAGAAGGATCTGAGCAACTTGTGTCCCAGCTATTCTGGTTTTGGAGGGTTTTTAGAAACACTGGCCTGTATATTTGAATGACACAAAAATCACAAAAGAAAAAGATGTAAAACAGTTTCTTTCTACTTATCTTAACGAACATTGTAAAATACACCATTTACTGGCAAGTTCTGTAAAATGCCTGAATCTATAGGAAGATCTCTGCTAACGTATCACCACCTGTTACTTGTAGGTAGCCCTTTACAGTTCAACCCAAAGCTCCTTGAAGTCAGAATTGTCTTTTTGATGTGAGGGGAGAAAATAAGCCAGCAAAGCTCACGTAGTATCTTCTATATCCAGTGCCCCTAAACACTGGATCTAAAACAGCTATGTGATTCAATGAATACTTCATTTGCCAACAAGTCTACAATAAAAACGTAAATTCAAACGATATCTTAAATTATACATACCTCTCTTTCAACTCCTTCCTGCAGTTTTGATGAGATGGCCAGGTTTTATCTTCCAGCAGCAATAACATCGTGAATAAGACTGGACAGGAAAAGCTATACTATATTGGTTATTCACGAGGCACCACCATTAGTAAGTTGCACATAGCAGACCAACACTTCAGGAAAATATAGGATTAAAGCCTAGTTTGAGACACTCAGTGTACCTGGGCTTTTTATCAGCTCTTTGCTGGAATAAAAAACACATGATGAGCTGTTTTCAGTATAGGCTGAATTAATTTATTGTAAAGATGACTAAACCTAAGGGGTCAAATGCACCACAACTGTAAACACTTCAGTTTAGAATTATACCAGAAATTATTTTGAGCCTTTTGGTTCCTTTCAAGATGTGTGTACTCAACAGCAGCTGGCTAGCTAAAAAAGAACAAAACAAAACACACACACACAAAAAAAAAAAAAAGCACCCACAAAAAAAAAGAGGATGGAAGAGAAGGAAAAGTTGGCCAGTTTGTGATACTAAAAAAAATAATTATATATATATATACATATATAAAAGGGATTGAGAGGAAGCAAAACATCTGCAACTCACAACAGTATACCAAACACAGGTGTACACCAAAGTGTTTACTTACATTTAAATGAACTCAGGAGAAAATTGCAAAAGCAAAACATATAGATTAATGTCTCTGAAGTGGGAAGTGAGACTGTAAGCTGATAATACAAGGAGCAGAGATACTTCATACCAAGCCAGGCTGAATTGCAGTCTCTGAAAAACTAACAAGGCTGCCCGTAGTTTTGATATAGCAGAATAGTATACATAAATACTGCAAAAAGACTGAGGTACAAAAGTGATTTTCTTTTCACTTTGTTTTTATTTCTTCAGCTTTCATTGCTTTTTCAGCAGTGCCAGAACTGGCACAGAACATCAAACTCTTTTTTGCTTTGGCACCTGTCACTGCTATTAAGTATGCCAGAAGCCCAGCAACAAAACTCCTTTATCTTCCTGAAAAACTGCTCTGGGTACATGGTACCTCAGCTTCAGATGCAGAATTATCTACACTTGTTTGCTCAACTCTTAAAGGAGACATATAGATGATATAGCACTTTATAAAGTTCACCTATTTGCAGGTAGGTAGATTCACCTTATGATTATAGTTCATGCAGGACAACAGGAAAAGCTTTTCTGTAGGACAGTAATGTGATATTGGAACAAGTTACCTAGAGAAGCACAGCAACACAGACCCTTGAGATTTCCAGCATTCCTCTAGAAGAAACTGCAGCCAGCCTGGTCTATTTCTGCTTGTAGGAGGACTCCAGATGAAACTTCCAAAAATTCTTCCAAGCAACTTTTTGATAGCTCCACAAACTAAATTAGAACTTCCTCTAATCTTCAGCTTTTAAAGGCATGAAAGAAGCAGGCTGAACAGCTGAGGATCTGCCAAGCTACCATCCAGGTGCAGGCTATCACTAATTCCAAATTCATGGCCATAGAGGATACTCTGAGCCTAAAAGCCATTACCTCTCATCAGGTGTAATTGTTAACATCTTTCAAAGGCATGCCAGCCATACAACAATGTGCTGGGAATTGTAGGAAAAATGTTTCTTGATTTGTCTTTGCAGATTTGGGCAAACTGAGCTAACACAAAAGGGAAAAAGAAAGCCAAGGAGGATAGTGTGTGATGTTTTTTAGGATAGCACACACAAGGTTAGGTTTCTACACAGTCTTGGATCTGCCCACAAAATATCCAGTTACTTATCCTATCAGTTGCCATTAATTGCAGTAATAAAAAGTTAATTTCTTGATCTCCAGACAGGCAAACACTAAAACCAGTAATGAGTGCACTCGCTAATTCACAGTGATATGAAAATCAGTGTCTAATCAGTGTGGCAGATCATATGTGCAAAGCTACTTATGCATGGAATTATTTGCAAACTTAGAGCTAAAATATACATCAGAGTTAACATTGAACATATACGTTCATTAAAAATGATGTAACACAAGTTGGGCAATGCCTGACAGGCTGATGCAATGGAAAACACCTAGGATCATTTTTGTTTGTGTTAACATCATCTGACAAAGGAAGAAAATATGAGAACCAACAAAAGCTCTGGGCGAGAGGAACAGGGTCCAAACCTTTTTAAAGGAACATTATAAAGTACACATTCTGAAATGAATGCTACCTTTCTTTCACAGGGTTTGCTTGGCAAAAGAGAATTCTTTACCCAGACTGAATGTCTAAGGAGGCTGATAGTCCCTTTCTGCAGCCACCATGTTTTTGCCAAGCTTTGTAGAAATGTCTTCTTCAGTGTGGGAGGCTATCACATGAATAACATTGACATGATATGTACTGCTCTTACCAGTTTGAAAAACAGTTTAAGCTTCTGCTCCCAAAACCTACCTCCCATCCTGTACAATGAAGCCAAAACTCTATTTTTCTGCATAACACAGCAGGGAACAGTTCCTGTACCAGACAGTGCTATCCACTGTTTGCCCCAGCACTGGCAGGGCAGCATGGCCTTTCTCCTCACAAGAGCACCCGGCACCATCTCTACAACCCACGGCTGCCTCAAGACTCCCATATAAATCACTTGCTTTGGGAGGAAGACTGCTGATTTTCCTTCTTCATCTGTTAGATTCTTTCAGGTTCTTGATCATCCTGGAAAATGTTTTAATTGGCAGCTGTCCTTTTTCTGTTGCTCCAAACCTGATGCACATGAAGTTCTGGGGGAGTCTCTGGTCATACCACTTTGCTTTCTCTTGGTTTTATTGGTACAAGATGCTGCTCTGACTGTTTTTGATGCACAGCTGAGTAAGAGGGAGGAAGAGAACATTCACTGAATATTTTCTTTGAGAACCGGGTCAATGTGTATATTGCACGAACTCCTGCTGGAACATCTGAGCAAAACATAATCCACTGGAGTCAGGTACAAGTGATCGAACTTCTGGCACACAAAAGAATTTCTAACCCCTGGTTGTACTGTATGGAATGTGGGTAGCTGATATCTTGCTATGAAAACATTGCTCACTGCCAGGAAATACGTGCAATCTGTTCTTCACAATACAATTAATATCTCAGTTCTACACATTATTTTCCACTGATCTCTCTTTTGCCAGCAGAACAAAAATACCCTGTGTGACACGGGTACATGTGAAATCAACAACAAAACACTGAATTCGTGCATGCTGGAGGTTGTATATGCAGATGTGTATAGCACTCTTTTTATTGTGTATCCAGTACCCTGTACAAATGGTGTCTGCACTTCATTGCAGAGCCTGCTTTAAGAAATTATCATTTATTTCTCTAATGTGGGGTCAAGAAATGAGCAGAGACATCAGCTGCTTTGTAGAATATCAGATTTGATGAATTAGGACCCTTGTATTTTCATGTCTTGTTTTCTAAGTTTTCTGTTTGTGGGCAGAAATAGAACTATAAATAATAAATGGCTCATTTACTTACAAAGTTCTGTCCATCAGCAATGCTGATGGAATATGCCTGCTTCTTTTTGGGCTCGTCATACAGGTTGTTGTATGTAGAGAGGTTTCATGGCAGCACTGCGGGTTTTGCCCTGCAGCAGAGCAGGAGTCACTTGCAAGCAGGGTGAATTTGCAGGAAAAGTTTGTGCACTTTTCAACATAGCAAACACAAGAATGTGTTTGAGTTACAGCTGCACAGGCATTTACTCAAAATCAAGTAACACCTTGGCTGTGAATTCTGTGAATTTTAGTTGATGAGTTGTTGACCATTGCAGGCCTGTAAGGGAGAAAAGTTACAGAGGTACAGTGAGGGAAATAGACTGAGGTTTAATTCAGTGTCTAATCATAGACTGGCAGGTACAGACATGCAGGAGTAATACTCCTAAGCTGTTGTTATTATTGCTATTATTACTATTATAGGAATTAACAGACACCTTGCCTCAGTATTAAATCCCACTGGTGGTTTCTTGTGTAGTGGAACAATGCATGCAGTAGGCAAAGCCAAGGAGCAAGAGGGGAAACCTAGAAATGGTGACTTCTGTATTCAAACAGAAAAGAGAAGCGAAAACCTAGAAAGGAGCCACTCCCAGAGCTGAGGGATAGTAACATGACTGTCAGAAGAGGACATGGCACCAGCATGGAAGGGCACTACCTGGAGACAGTCACTTAATAGCAAGGTTACAGACTAGAACAAATTGCCTGTGAAAGCATCTCTAGGTCTTTCTACAGGTGCACTGATTGTTTTGACGCTGATAAAAATGTTCAACTCATTTTTGCTGCTTGAGGCTTTTAGCTAACTGCTGTCTCTTTCATAGCTTTTAAAAGAGAAGAGCTTCAGCTGAGGCTTTAGATTTGTGTCAGAGGCTTAGTAGGAAAAATCCCATAACCTTCCTGAATGACAGCTTTGTAACTACTCTTCTCTGGTTCGTCCTATTATGAAGCCCATTCAGGAAAGTTCCAAGCTTGTGTCTGGGGCAGTTCAAAGAAGAACATTGAGAAATACCAACAGGTACCATTCAGTGAGACAATATTGTCACCCTCTGACAATGCAGAAGCACTGGAAAAGAGAGTAATAATATATTAGGAGTCACAGTTTCTGAATACGTGCAGAAGGATTTAGCCACCACCATTTGTATTATGATTTCCAGTTTGGAAGTTAACAGAGAAAAATGCAAGCATTAATGTCAACACAAACTGGGAAGAAAAAAAAAAAAAAGAAAAGAAAAGAAAAAAGAAAAAAAAAAAGAGGAAAAAAAAAAAGGAAAAAAATAAAGGAAAGAAGAAAAAAATAAAAGGAAAAGAGATAGGAAGATCAACCCTTTTTTTTCATGAAATGGTCAATAGTAATAATAAGAAAGAAGGGCAGAAGAGATGGAAAATGAATTCTGAAAAAGAACATCTAGTGGATCTGACCAAAGAGGAATTTTGTCTACTAGCATGGCTGACAGTTGCAAAGGGAAACAGTATCAGGAAGAAGGCAAGTGGAGAGTCGTAATGTGTCTAAAAGCTACCTCTAGATTCTGGTCACAGGAGACTTTGACCTTACGCACACCCTGAGCAACCTCTAATCCATCCAAGACTCTGAGCCCATCCTTTACCCTCTGACCTTTAGGTCTCCACAACAGCCTGTCATTAGGAGTTTAATGTTATGTGTTTTGATGATGGCTTGCATGAAAAGTAGCTTCCTTTGGTTTGTCTTGAATTTTCTTGCCCCTGGAAAGTCACTGGATGCCTTCTAGGTTTTGTGTTCTGAGAAATAATGAGATAATTACTTCCTGTGTTCTTTCTTCATGCCATTCATGATTGTTTAAGCCTGTCTCCTGTCCCCGTGCTGGCCCCTATTTTCCAAATTCAGGAATCCTAAGCAACTTCCTCTCTCCTACAGAAGTCACCTCCTTTTCATGCTTGTGACACCTTGTCTTTTCTAACCAGACTATGTGTGTCTTCTGGGGCTGACCAGTACTCCAAAAGGAGTATGTGAGATGAGGATGAGGACCAAGACAGAGGTTTATCCAGACATCCTCTGTCTTGTTCTGGGCTCCTGCCCTACATTTTCCTAGCTGAGGGAACAAAGATCTAACTGCAATTGTTTGTCAGTTTGTCATTTGTATGTTGCCTTTGCCTGCATTGTCATCTGATCATCGCTGTGAACACAGAAAAGGCAAGCAAGGGCACTTCCCTGCCCTTTGTCTTAGGCAACTCTACTTTGAACATTGACCTAAGAAAACACCAGATGCATGTTTAAAGGTTATTCTTCTTTACTGGACATTCATTCCAGCACTGCTTCATGTTTTCCAGGCTACTCCTCCTCTATACAAGTCAGAACAGATGCAGTATGGACTGGGAGACAAGACTTGCTCACAGATTCCAAGGATGTGGCCATTTTACTTTCTCAGATTAAGAGGCTCCTCTATCACAAGATGATTCCTGAATGGGCACACTTGGATTTCATCTGGAGATTGGATGCACTTTTGTGTGTTTATAATGAAATTATTGATCTGATGCAGAAGTATCCTTAACTCACAAGCAGTAGTCCTACCTGGCTGACTTTATCTGAATATGATCACTGATCTCAAGAAATTTTCCACTGATTACATAATTTCTCAGTTTATTGGGTTGGCAGTTCTTGAAAGGCCTGTATAAGCTGAGATAACTCCAGCAGTTATGGCATTTATCAGTTTTATTATTAGTAAGATGATAACCAGAAGGAAAAAGAGTTCACACAAAATATGCAGTACTGGAAAAAGAAAAAAAAGGTTGGTTTGTCTTCATCTGAAGGAGAGCCCTTCCCTAGGCTGGAAAGAGTGCTTTGGAAAAAGCACTGAAGAAATTATCATCCTATTCCATCTCCTGGGGGAAATCTGTCTCTACAAACCTTGCTGCAGTGATGTAGTTATTGCATAAAAGCACTCACTTAAAGGTTAGCCTCCTTGGTTATTAGGTTACAGTATTATAGCTTTCTGTGTCTCCACAATGAAGTGTTATTAGTGGAAAAGAAATACAGTGCACTTAGGGTGTCACTTTTTCACAGTGTCACCCTCAGTCTCCATTTGAATCAAGCATCAAGATGGGTGAAGTCTGGGATACTAACCAGCAGTTACAGCTGTTGCACAGGTGACATTATATAACTCTATACATAAACCAAACAAACCATGGCCAATGCCACTTATGCCCCTTTCCTTTCCAACACAACAAGCAGGCCTGTTTTGCCTCCTGAGCTGAAACCCATTTTGCTTCCTTGGCTTCCACAAATATAAAGTTTGAACCAATCAAATCAAGTTCCTTCCAGGCAAAGACATACCCTCCACTCAATGTAAATTCCAAAATAAAAGGACAAATGCATTGCAGACAGTAAGCCCATCAACAGACTTACTGCTGGTAAAGGGAAACGCGTGACAACTTGAGATCTAGTTTATGAGTTAGGTTTAGAAATGCAAAAGCAATAGCAGAGCATCCCTCAAATTCACTTAGGAAAGAGACTGCAGCTGTGCACATATCTTGCAACTTGAGAGACCAAATAAGAGTCTGGGTGTTGAAAATTTTTTCATGGGAAATCAGTAAAAGCAGGCTAGACAAGTGGTACTGGAAATATCATGGAATCTGTTGATCTCACCTTAGGACATGAGGAGAGGTGTATCATCATATTTCAGAGCCCTTCTGACAGAGAAAGTTAAGCTTTGATGAAAGTTTATCATGCAGAGACATCAAAGCTATAGTGCTTTTCACTAAGGAATTATCTTTTCCATCATTCCACATAATGCTCTTGTTGTGGTGTAACTCCACCAGGTAGCTCAGCACCACACAATCCAAACCATGCTCTCTACTTTGTATGTAGAGTAGAACTGTTACTGTGGCTTCTGTGATATCCTGTTCTCACACCACTTCTCTCCTTCCTCTGCCACCCTACAGCACTGTATTAGCAGCTGAGAACATATATCTTTCATCTGCTGCTCTTCTAAAAGCTCAGCAGTCAGTCCATAACAAAACACAAGTTCTTCTGAAGATATTTATGAATTCACTGGCTGAAGGTCTGGTACTCAGGCAAGAGGATTCTGCTTTGACTGTAGCCTAGGTGGCTGCCTAAGAAAACAAGGTGCCCTTCTAGTCATCATTCTAGCCATCAGTTTCAGTGAGAATGAGCCTCTGAGCTGATCACAGTTAATCCAGCAGTCAGGAAGAGGTCCCCAAAGATACTGTGTTTTCAAAGTTTCTGAAAATAGCCAGGGAGAAACAATAGCTCTTCTTTATTCTCTCCCTGGGAAAAAGGTTTTACAAAGTGTTCAAGCCTTCTTTGACATGAGAGTGTCTCTTTGTGAGCCATATCAACTCTGAGAGACTAATTGAGAATAATATGGATATCCAGAGTTGTGGTCCTCACTCAAAAACACATTTAGGAATGTGTGTGCAATGATAAATTCAAAGTTAACATAAATAAATGCAGATTAGTAGCAAGAAAGATATTCTTCAGACAGTATGTTGTGAGAAATTAGACACTTCTTATTCTTTATCCTAAAATATTATATTTAAAGCAGCCCTCAAAGTATGAAACATTACAGGTCAAGGTCTGCCACAGCCCAGGGAACTGGAATGCCCAGGTCCGTGCTAAATATCATAACCACTGGTATGCAAGCAATTGTTAACCTCTCCTGATACATGGTTTTGTGAATTTAACTGGAAGATCTTTTTCATCACAAAGATTTCCTCACTTCTGAAGCACTGCCAGATCAGCAGTTAAACATGCTCTACAATACATGCTGCCAACTCATGACACTCTCTATCCTGAAGTGCTCACTGTGCTTGGACTTCCTTTTATTGGCATAGGTTTCTGCCAGTGAATCATTCTGCTGCTGGAGACAGACAAGGAACTGCAGCCGAAGACACAAGTAAGGCAGTCACAGCAGAGGTAAGTTGCTTGTACATGTGTGTTCGTGATCTCTTTCTCTGTTGCCTATCTCCATAAAGACATGCAGTCTTGGTTTTGTGCAGTTAATTGTGAGAATAGATGGCTTGTTTCCTCTCTGATCTGTAAGCCTATTGCTATGCATGGAAGTACATTTGCTCAAGTTGGAAGACAGATAAGTTCAACCTGCAGAGAAAAAAAAAAAAAAAAAGAGTGATTGTTTCATTTTCCTCTACTTATTTATCCAGTCTAAGAACAAGAGAAAGTCTCTGTATTGAAGCAGTGTATGTAAATTGGACATTCAGTTCTTGAAGTTTCATGCATATGTACATATTGTTAGTAAACAGATTCTCATTTATATGGATAAACTTCTGAAGGTCTTGTAGCTCAATTTCAGTAACCCTTAAAAGTCCCAAAAGAGCTTTCAAGGGCATTTCCTTTTCTGACTTTTTTCCTTCTAAGTATGTTTCTTTTCTGACAATTTACCATGTACAGAATTTCCCTATGGTTTCATTTCTCTTGAAGTCTTTGCTCCTGAAGCTTACTGGAGCACTGGCCTGCTAAGACTGATGTTACTTAGCCTGCTGCATCTGATTCAAAAGGTGAATACCTGGAAGTCTGTGAGGCATGCCAGCTAAGCTATGTGATAATTGAGTGCTTTGAGAAAAAATTGCCCTAACAAGAGGAGTGATTTAGCTTCTCCATTGCCCCAGTATGACTTGCTAGAGATTTGAAAGCATGCTGAGACATTAGCAAAGTGTTTTCTTCCCAAATGAAATTCCATGTGCAGAGACAGGGAGCTGCATTTTACTCCCACTGGGACAAAGTAAAACAACAGAAAGCAGAAAGGAGTATTGTGCTGACTCAGTGTGTAGCTGGGAGTCTTCCTGTTTGAACAACAAAAATTAAGAAGCATTCAATATACAAACAGAACTGAACGGTACTTGTTTTGATGCCAAGTTTAAAGTTTTGGGTGTTTCCAAACTCTGCTTCATTGCAGTTGTCTGATGACTCAAGAGGTTTGGCTTCTTTAAGTTTGTTCAGTAAAATTTGAAGGTTAAATTGAAGATCAGAAAAAGCCAGAACAACTTTTTTCGTAGGAGATTCAGAGTGCAAAAATCTCTTGGTTACCTCCCCCCTCCCCCACCCCTCACCCATAAATCCTGATCATCTTCCTCACTGCTTGCCAGGGAACACTCCCTTATTTTCCCTTGATCTACAGCTCAATTTCCAAGCCCAAGTGAGAGTGACATGTCTTGCTATAGCAGATGTCTTACACTAAAAGCAGACTCCAGAATGTGGAGAACTGTTGTCCTTCATTAAAATCAGATTCTCTGTGTTCAGTGTACCTAGCAATGCACGGACTCAGGAAGACTTGTTACCCAAGTCTGCTTTACCTCCTAATGCAGATGGGTCTCCTATGAAATTCCCTCACGAATCCTGATGACCAGGCACACATACTGCGGCTGCCTTGGAGCTGTATGAATGCTGGTTAGCTGGCTAGGTCACTTGTGCTGACTGCTCAGCTCATTGTAGAACATGTCACAGCTGGCACAAATCCCCTGAATAGTCCTTCCTCTCAGGAGCGCCTGAGAACCCCATTACTTCAGAGGCTTGTACCTCAATGTTGCACTTAGCAGAAGTTCATCAGTGACATCAAAAGATAATAACAGGATGGACAGAACAGTGAACAAAGATAAACACCCACAGTGACAGAAGCATTCCCTGTTCTGAAGAAACCAAGCCTACAAGAGCTAGAATGTCCCCAGTCACCACTGGTGTGTCAGTATCACAAGAAACCTCAGTGAGCTGAAACATTACATTGCATTACTCATCACTTTTATCCCATAGATCCTACTGTTGAACGTGAGGTATTAAATCTGATCTTTAAGATTGTTATCCACTTGCAGAATGACTGCTACTTATCTATTTCCAGCCTTTATTCTCCCCTCACACAGGCAGACACAGCACACAATCATAATTAGATATATTGGAGCTTTTCCAGAAATGTAAGTCCAATCATGAGCTACATGGATGAATCCTTTTTGTGAATTTCTTCACATTGGAAAGAAAATTCCTATCCCACTTATTTGCAGCTCTTTTGTAGGCAAGAAGCACTGAACATGACAGTATTTCTTTTGCTATCCAAACAGATTCAAC